TGCAACGTTATACCTCCCCGATTGCCTTGGAAAATGTAATCAACTTTTCACTTCTGCGAATATTTTTTAAAAAACCGTTATACGGAATACTCGTTAGATTTGCCAACATCTTAATCAGGCTTAAAATGGAATAATAAATTTCACTGTTCACCCTTTCTTACTGTATTTCAAACCTGTCAGCCACATACTGTCCTGCGCTGAGAAGATGACGAGTGGGACGGCCAGAGGCAAGGGAAGTAAGCCACTCTTCCCACCTTTGACGCTCACCGTCACGCGACAATTTCGGCCAATGTAAAAATGCGTGTGATCTGACTTTACGAGTGTGTCCGCTTCAACCAACGAGACCCGCATTCCTTCCGCTTGTCATCTTCTCAGCGTAGGATAATACTTAATACTTCATGGCTCCATAAAGAAAAATATGAAAACAAAATCGAACAACTGCGGTTCATATTAAAATCATTTTTACCCACTCTTTTCTGTTTTCCAGTAGTAAGCAAATTTTTTTAAATAATCGCCTAAGCTTCACTTAAAATTTCATTCGCTGCTCATTATCATTTCCATCGGTAGTGCAACGACGTGAACCTTCTCATCCCCCCATTTCACCGAATCGTTTTCCCTTCGTTCCGTGTTCTCACACGAGCTTCGAGTGTTTTTCCATGGATTTTCCAGCGAGCTTCTTCGAGTGGAGGTTCCTTTTCCGAAAACACAAAGACCATTGGACCCAGCGTTCACGCTCTCTGTTATTAATTCGACCCTTCTTTCTTCCCCGGCTCTCCGGACGGTAATGGCCGCGTTGACGACCCCACATTCGAGGCGAAGAAAGCCGTGGATCCTTACGTCCTAGCATTGAGGCATCGACGCCGTTCGATTGGAAAAGCCTCGACGACGAGGTGCCGCTTTTCGATACGGTTCGATCGGTCTCACCGTGAACGGAACGAGGCTTTTCAGGGCCGAAACTCGACCCACCCCACCTCCGCACTCTTCCTTTTATATAGACTAACACCCACACGCGGGTACACATTGTGCAATCAAGCTACGAATGCGTATCCAATACCTTGAACATGCAGTTGGGAATTTCTCTCTCGAAGCGTGGCCGATTTCCATGAGTAATTTCCGCTTTACCGCCGAAACTACGTTCCCACTTTTTTGGCTGCCTATGACGAGCTTTATTTTATACAGCTCAGTTTAGATTCGAGACAGTGGTATACGTTTATTTCAGTTTTAATCACCGGAGAGATTTTCGTTATACTTCGTGAGAAATTGTGATCGTTATTTGGACGATTAATATGCTGAATGAAGAAATTTTATTGATCGACGCGCCGAGTGGTCTGTTCTTTGCATGCATATGTATTAGGTTGCGTTATATGAAATTGTCGTTTTTCTAGGTCGAAATACGAATGATGTATTTTTAAAAACGTTAATCTTTATCTAATCAAAATAGGCACAATTAGTATAATGGCTTTTTCTCGACGAGATACTAACTGACATATAAACATTAGTGTCTTTTGACTCGATAAATTCTTCGTACAGGGTGATTCACCTGAAAGTACTCGTAAACTATTTGCTGTACAAAAAGTATATGAAGCAAAAGTTGCATAATTTCAAGAGGAAGCATGTGTTATAATAATTCTTTATTTTTTTAGATACATGAAATTTTTAAGGTCGCCTTCATTTTCTTAAATGGAACACCCTATACTTTACGGAACTTCAAAAGCATTAAAAACATAGGTATTAAGACGTAATAGGAATATTTCGGTATGATTCAGCTGCACTATGGCCCTAATTTAAATTCGTACAGGAAAAACGTTTTATATCCCTTTGGAGACATCATATTGTTTTCTTACGGAAAACAAAGGAAACAGAGGAGCAAAGCGTCGAAATAACTTTTTACGAGAAACAATATAAATTATGCAGGGTTTACTAATCACGGTTGCTTGTCAATTATTCTGACACTGGCAATTTTATATGGTACAACCCAGTAGGTCCATGAAATTGAAGGAACAGTTCGAAAAATATAATATGTGGTCTGTTTCAAAAGCAACGAAATTATCATATTTGGCTCCGTAACTGTTAAAACTAAATTTTCAAACCAATCTGAGTAATAACGAAACATAAGTGAAGAAAAAGAGTACTGGGACTTATCTGTAGATCTCGAATACATTTATGAACTAAGGAAGCCTTGCTTAATCACAGTAGCTTGTCGTCATTTCGCGATTTTATCGAAAACTACGGTGCGACTTTCCTATATAATTTTCTTTCTCTCTGTGATAATAGAGTCCAGTTAAGATTTTCTCAAGATGCAAATCACCAATTTTTTCCCACTTTTACTACACCGTATTCATACGATAGGTTACATGCATCCGGCGTATAAAATATTCAGCAACCCAGTTTCGATGAACTCGAGAGTCCGACGTGTCTCCAACTACGAAGAAATAAAAGTTCGACAAGAGTGGAATTGCGATTCAAGGAGACGAGCTGCACGTATGGTCTACCAAAATCGAGATACAGAGTGGATTGTAGTTTTCTGCTGGCCTCGTTCTGAAGAGTTGACAAAGTTTATGAAAATTGGAAACTCCTTGGTCTTGTTTCCTGCTCCGTCCGCCCGCTCCTCTGGTTCTCTCAATTTTTTTCGCTGCTATACGCCATCGCAGCGCTCATTTACCCGATCGTTGCTGGGAGGCTGAAGTACGAAAATTCAGTCTGAATTTCACACCTGAAGTTTTCATTACGTGACCTGTGGTAACTGATCAAACGCACGCGACTTTAATCGCGGAATTACAAAAAACCGGAGCTAGTAAATTACCGATCGTATCTGAATTGGCGTCGTTGACCTGCTCTCCCTTGGCGTTACTAACTTCGTTGTCCTATTATAATATAACGGACTCGTTCACGGTGTGCCACAGATTCCGTGCAATCGTGACACTCTCGTTTACTTGTCGATTTTCACGAGAATCACAAGCAACACTCCACGGCGTTGTCCTCCAATCTATTTAAGTGGAAACCAGGAAGATCGCGAGATTGAGTTCCATTGTCTGGGCTTTCTTTTTTCTTCAATTCCTAGAGTAGTTTAACACATTGAGCGCCGGCCCCGTGAGAACGCGGGATTCTGAGTCTATCGCTTGAGCGCCGGCCCCGCGATAATGCGGATTTCTGGGTCTATCGCTTGAGCGCCGGCCCCATTTCGATTTTGTTTCTATTTCTCATTTACGTTAAATTGTATATGACGAATATGCAATTAAAATGTACTATTTTACGAAAATGTATAATGTTTTGAATATTTTTTTTTGGCTACTCATTGATCAGAAACAAGCGAATGAGGCCGGCGTTTGGGCTTTAAGTGGCCGATACGTTGCCGGCGCTCAGGCTTTAAATGTCTCTTAGGTCGCCGGCGCTCAATGTGTTAATTGATCGCGCTCGTGGCCGGTGATTTTCTGTATAAACTGGCTCATTCAACTCTTTACGCTGGAAAATGTTTTCTTTACATACCGAATCAACGAATCCTGCGTGGATTTTGTATCGACCTGCGTTGAATTTATTTCATTCGAAGTGTTACAGTATTTCTTACGTGAATGTAAGAACTCTGATTGTAGCGGCCCTGTCTACAAAGGGCCTACAAATTCGTGCCCTTTTATTATAGAATAAGTAATTCAAAGTATTCTTTTGTACTGTACACATTGTACTATTCGATATTTGTAGGCGACACGTTAAAATAATTTAATAAACCTTTCAGTTACAATTCGACGTGAGTTGGCACGACCACACAAAACTAAACATTTGCTAACCCGCAT